CTTTGGGGGGAGGGAAATAAACGATAAAAAGAATTAAATTAACAGGGGGAAAAAAAAAAAAAAGAAACGAACGAAAAATATATCGAACGATATTCGCGAACGTTGAAACGAACGAATTCGTGAAATCAAGAAATCGTTTTCGTTTTCGAACGTCGGTTCGAACGTACGTATACGCGAGAGCTGGGAATTCTTGCAGCTGCATAGAGGCCGTGAATCATTTGTCACGTTTCAAACTCGAAAATTACTCGAAAAGCTTCCGGAGCTTGCGAGTGGGCTTTCTTGAGGAACACGTAGACGAACGTGTTCGTAACGCGATCCTCGTGGAATCCTCGCTATTTCTGGTCTGGCAAATTTTCGAATAATTTTGGCGGAACACCGTGGAAAGCTTATCTTTTGTGAATACGAAATTTCATGAATATGTATACAAAATTTCCTTCTTTTTTTCCCCCCTCGCGCGATCTTTCGGATTATTTCATTGTCGCGTTCTCGAAAGCGTGCGAGGCCAAGAAAGATTTAAAGAAAAAACCGAGTTGTAATTGAAAATTAAATATTTAATGATAATTTTTATCACCGCGCCATTCGTTTCTTTGAAAAATTTTCGAAAAGGGACGAGAGAGCGGTCGATGAGAGTTTTAATTCCAAACAATAGCCGAGGAAACAAGAAATTACGAAGAGCAAATATAGAAAGAGAAGAAGCAAGAAAAGAGAGAGAGAGAGAGAGAGAGATTTTACAAGAATTTTAATTACGTCGGATAGCGCAAGTTTCGAGAGAAAAAGACTCGAAGGAGAAAGCCTTTTTCTTTTTTTTTTTCATTACAAGATTACACTCGACCATGTATGCACGTTGCTCTCTAAACAAAATGTTCGTTTTCCTGTTACACCGTCAAGACGCGAGTAAGAGACGTGAACACATAGGTAGAGTAGCGAACGGAACACGGTACACCGAGGCGAGAGAAGAAGGAGGGATAAAAAAAAAAAAAAAAAAAAAAAAAAAAAAAAAAAAAAAAAAAATGAAGGAGAAAAGAAAGGAAGGAAAGCAGCTTCGAAAAAAAAAGAGAAAGAAGCGGAGAGAATGTACGCGTAAAGGAAAAAAGGAGAAGAGAAGAAAAAGAAGAAGAAAAAAAAGAAAATAAATGGAAAGTAGCTTGGTATTTCAAAGATGAGAGACCACTTTGCGCTTAGAAGGAACTGCTTTACTTTCACAGCTTAGTAAATGTGCGAGGTATGCTCCGAAGAAGGAAGAACAGCCATCCGGGTTAAGGTAAAAAGAGAGAAAGAGAGGGGGGAAAAAAGGGAGAGAGACGAGGAAAAAGGAAAATAAGGCGGGGAAACAGTTTCGGTTGCTCCGAAACCAGGGACGATTCAACACTTTATCCCTCCGCAAAATTTACGAGCCGGTGTGCCGCCGGTGTGGACCGTTTGACCGCGAAATTGCGTAATTAAATTAGCACCGGCCCATATAATTCGGTAATTAACATTCTGAAACGGGTCGCACTCGGTTGGGAAACCAGGGGGAAAAATAGAGCCGGTTATAAGTTGAAATTGTTTAGCGCGAAATCGTTTATATCGGAAAATTTATGGCTGAATTTATCTTATTGCGCCAACTTGTATTATCTCTCGAATAATAATGTAATGTAATGGAATGTAAAAAAAGAAGAGGAATAAGCCGAATGATTATGATTCTGAATCTACTGATGCCGGATGATACGGAATAATTCGAGATCGAAATTTAACGCGAGAGGCGAGAAGAGATATTTTCAACGAATTCCATCATGCGGATGATGTTCGCGAAGACGTGGCATTTCTTCGAGAAACAAGTTAGTCCCTACAAGCTCTTTTCTCCAACATGTCGCAGGTGGAGGAGATAAACTCGACTGGTTGGAAAAGCTGAAAAGCATCGAAAAGAAAGAGAGAGACTGTTTTACGTTGCTCGCAACCATTGGAAGATGAGATTTCAAGGCTTTGAAACTAAGATTTCGACTTTCTTTCTTACTTCGAGTGTTTCTTCTACTCGAAGAAATTCTATCTTTTTCCTTTCTTTCTTTTTTTTTTTTTTTTTTTTTTTTAAGAAAGATTACTTTCCCTTGCGTAAACGTAACGTCGGAATCGTTTCGAATCGAACGATTGTTTCGTTTTCTGGTTGCCAAGAAAAATCTTCCAAAGGGTAAAGAGAAGTTGAGAGGAAATACATTTGAGGATAAATTTGCGGGGAACAGGAGAGGCCGAAAGCATGAATCGATTCGATTGCTCGTCAGGTCGGGCCTGAAGGAACGAGATATCGAAATGGTTTCGAGATAAGAGAGTCCGACGACAGGAATTGACTTTGGATCTCGATTAAACCGCCGCCAGAAATCCTTCTCGATTTTATTACGGTCCATATCGTCTCACGTATTATTCAAGTCATAAAAATTTGATATGCGAGGTGAAATCGTGAAATTTT